GGCGCTGGAAGTCATTGAGTTCAAGTGGCAAATAACGTATCAGCTCGGGTTGATCCTATTGCTTTTGATATTTTCTCGTTTCTTTTGAGAGAGAGAGAGAGCGAGAGAGAGAGAGAGAGAGAGAGAGAGAGAGAGAGAGAGAGAGAGAGTTACGCTTTGTCTTGGGTAATCTCTGTTTAAAATGAGGTCGGGTAATGGAGACATGGCAGACGACCATCCTCATCGTCACCACCACCACCACCACCACCATCATCATCATCATCATCATCATCATCATCATCATCATCATCATCATCATCATCATCATCATCATCCACATCATCATCATCATCACCAAAAAACGACATAAAAAATAGCAGCAGCAGCAACAACAATATCAACTCAATAGCAGCCACAGCAACAGCAACCACGAGGCAAGGGCTGAGTCACAGAAAGCATGGCAGTTCTCGGCGCGTCCAAACCGAAGACAATAACATTAAGTACGGCACCTTTGATGCGTGTGCGTGACTGATTAACCGTTCTCTTGTATCTTGGCGATGTGGCAATTCTGCTACGTGATTTTCCTTGAAGAAGACGTGCGCCAGTGGGTGGTTGGCGGGTACCCTGTTAAATGTTGTGGTTTGCTTGCTCCTTCTTTCTCCTATCAAACATCATATCCTCCTTATAATCTCTCCTCCTTTTTCTATAGTAACACTTATATGACCTATTTTTTTATAAAGTGCTGTAAGACGTTAACATATTCTAAAAGCATCTATCGTTCTTCTGTCTCCTCCTTTTTCTTTACGTTTGTTATTCTCTTCTAACACGCTATAATCTTCGGCGCTGGCATATTTATGTTGCAAATGCCGTAAAACTCCTACTAAAACTAAATTACCTGGTATGGTACTCTCTTGTAATAACTCTAATCTTGGGCACTTATATGGCCTATTTGTGTTGCAAGTGCCGTAAAATTCTTACAAAGAAACCAAAACGAAGAAGCCGATGTACACCGGTTTCCCCCTCACGTAATGGATGCTCTGTGGCGGGCGAGAATCTCGTCCGCTGATGACCTTTTTCCGTCTGGAGTCTCCGGCGAGGGCAGGAAGTCCTCCACATGTGTTCGTACCCCTCTCGTTATCGGCCCCACACCCCAAGAGGTCTTATGTGCAGGTCACATGATGCTTACCTTTTTACTCTTTTCTTTTCTTTTCTTTTCTTTTCT